ATTTTCTTTTGATAAATATGTGGCATGTAAGACACTAATGTTTATAACCTGGTCCTGTGAATCCAATTTTACTAAATACAATAACTATTTTCTCAGAATAAGAAAAAACAATTCGAAAGTAAATGACAAATTGGAGGAAAACTTATAAAATATATATTAGGCAATGATAATATTAATTGTAAGTAAAGACTTAGATAAAAAGATGGACAAAAGTTGTGCATAGGCAATTCCCAAAGGAAGATAAAACCTATAAATATATGAAAATGTTTTATACCACTAATAATTTTTAAATGCAAATTAAAATAACAACGACTTACAAGTTTCAATTTTCAAATGAGCAAAATTTTAGAACAATGATAATACCCACTGTCTGGACAAGTGTGATAAAATTAGTGCTTTCATATATTGCTAGTATAAATTGTTACAACTTCTTAGAGGGCAATTCAGTAATACGTTTAAGAGTCTTAAAAATGCTTACAGCTTTACTCTAGTAATTCTACTTCTTGGATTTTATCTTATGATAATAATCAGAGTTGCACATAATAATACCAATAGTAATGCTAATAATTATTGTAATTAAGGTGGATCCTGCAAGAAGTGTGAATTTGGGTAAGCAAGAAGGAATGAGGAGGGCATTCCAGGCAGAAAACAAAACATAAGCAAAGGCACAAAGGTGGGAATGAGCATGGCATGGGAACAGGAGACGGGTAAGGATGACAAGGCCTGAAAAGCCATGCAAAGGAGTTTGGATCTAGTCTAGATAAGACACTGGCAGGATGATGAAAACAATGTTGGGGGAGTGGATATTGCAGTGTATGCTGGCTCCACTTAAGGGGACTTTCTAAAGCTATCTATAAATTTTTAAATTTCTCATGGGGTGTTGGCAAGGAAAACAAGATAATAGATAAGTCAAATCTAGCTCAAGTAATCTCTTCATTTTACTGAGAATTTCCAAAAACTTCTGTTTGATTTTATCAAGTACTTTTTGGCTGCAAGATCAGTTTTTTTCTGTCTCTAGATCTATTCAGATATTCATTATTTCAAAATACATAAAGTGCTAGATTCTGATGCCACAGATGTCCTTTTGCTGCTGAAAGTTTGAAAGGCAGTGAGCTGAGAAAAAAATTCCCGCTGAAATTAACAAAAAACCCCTAAATAGTGTGCCATACAAATCTGGGGAGGCAGCTGCATGGATGAGCAGGTACTAGAGCCCTGGCCATTTGGACAACTCCAGTGACTAGAAAAGAGATGGCCACATACTTCTATTTTTAAAAGCTCTGGGAGGTCTGACAAATTGACTTATTCCAGGCAAGAATGCCCTCCTCTTCTCTTGGTGCCTGTGATTGTTAATTTTATGTGTCATTTTAGCTAGACTGTTGGGTCTAGTCACTTGGTGAAATGTTAGTGTAGATGTTGCTTTGAAAGTATTTTGTAGATGTGATTAACATTTGCCATCAGCTGACTTTAAATAAAGCAGATTATCTTCCATAATGTGGATGGGCCTCATGCAATCAGTTGAAGATCTTAAGAGCAACAACTGAGGTTTCTCAGAGAAGAAGGAATTCTGCCTCAAGACTATAATATAGAAGTCCCACCTGAGTTCCCAGCCTGTCGGCCTGTCCTACAGATTGCATACTTGCCAATCTCCTAGTGGTTTCACAGTCCTTTTTCTCTGGAGAAGCCTGAAGTGCCCCTCACCCCCAAGAATAGATACCAACTTTTCTTGGATGTCCAAACACTGGACTCCAGATCTAACCTCTTGAATATATTCCTCAAATCAGTATCTCCATGTCCTGCTCCCTCTTCTTCTCAGAGGATATTATCTAAAATGTTGAATCATTTCTCAATAAAGAGTTAATAACTGGTGAGCAATGTTATAGGGAGGAACTTAAAAAGCACCTACTGAAATCTAATACATTGGTATGTGTCTTGTCAAAACCATAAAACCTTATGTTAAGTAAAAATGAGTAATTTTTTTCCTTTAAAATTCCATTGCTATTAATCATTTGTCAAATTCTAAATTTTATGCAGCTCTAAACATGATTACAAAGATTTGGAAGACTCTGAAAATGACTCTGAATGCAACTGAAACATGTAGAACAAATAATGTATCAATATTATGTAAGCATTAAAATATGTATGTACATGACAAAGACAAATGGAAATACAGATGAACACAAAATTTTTTTTTAAAAGAGCATCTATTCCACATTTGGCAAACATATGGCCAAGACCCATCACTTCTCCTATCCTGCACCTAAGGCAAACATTCATCCATCACCACAGTTTCTACTTGGCGATGGTGTCCCAAACCATATTCATCTCTGCTCTTGGCATCCCCTGTACCTGACATGAGGCCTGTTTGTCCTTCTGGATTTGGTCCAACTTTCTCAATTTACAGACAAAAAAACTGAAGTGCAGAGATGGGGTGGATCTTACCTAAGATTATGTAGTTAGCTCATAGAAAAACTTGAATCTGAATGGATTTTAGTCGTGACTTCTTTTTATAAAAACAAATATTTCAGGCATAAAGTGAAATATAGAGAATAACATAATGAACATCTATATACTTACAACCTAGTTTAAGAGGTTAAATTTGATGTCTATCATTTACATGCCATTTTTGTACTTTTATGTCATGTGACTGTTTTCCATTAACACCGCTGAGAGGCTGTTTACATGCTTTTCAACTTTCTGTAATCGGTAATATGATATCTGCATCGTTCTGCATCTGCCTTTCCTTTCCAAATTATATTGCTCAGATTTATTCATCTCAAAAATACATCTAGTTTTGATGCTTTCATTTTAATTACTGTCTAGTCTTCCTATTCATCTCTTCTCATATTGATTATTTCCGATTTGTTGTTGTTATAAGTAATAGTACCAGGTATATTCCTGTGTGTGTCTTCTGCATATCTAAGTGTCTCTGACCTCTTTGTATCACACCACATATTCTCAGGTATGTGCCAGGGAGGGTGAGGGTGAGAGAGGAGAAGCATCACTCTCTCATCCCCCTGACTTCCTCTTGCCCCAGATTAAAAAGTAGAGGGAGTGACTATATATAATTTTGGTGGGGTGGAAGAACTAGTCCCATTTCTTTAATTTGACTTTTGATCAAGACAGTTACTTTACTTTGAATTTCAGATACCATTAAAAGAGGGTGTGAGATTCTTCTGTTTATAAGGAGACGTACTGGTTGAAAATGGCTGGGATACCTTGTTAACCCAAAGAAGTCTGTTTGCAATAGTGCAATATTCAGATAATGTGGCAGGCCACAGGATGAGACATTTAGGATGGCAGCAAGTCTTTGAGCATTCAGTTCCTCAGATAGCTGTTTCTGCTTCCTTACTCAGATCCTATGCTCTTTCCTAACAATATTTTCTCTGTAGGAGAGAGCCTGCAAACTGCTTACTGACAGGCTCAATTAGCCAATGGGTGTGTTTTATTTGGTTTGCTGATATTTGAAATACTTTCAGCTAGCATTTAATAATTAGGACATTTTACATAAAAATCTGGATTTCCACCTTCTCTGGCAACATTAGGCTAAACTGACGAGGCATATGCTTTCCAATTCACTGCAACCCCTCCCTTTTCTTGACTCCCTCCCAGGTTTTATTAGATGCTTTTCACTCTTGTCACTACCTGCTTGGCCCTGGTGGGCGTCTGAGTTTACTGCCTCTGCTCGCAGGCCTTCCACTGTTTCTTCCTTATGCTGAGCAGCTGAAAGTCACTTATACAAACTCTCTGAGCTCAGGCAATTCAGGCAAATATTGGGCCCCTCCCGTGGAAACTCACGTGGAGGCCAAGCAGACCAACTTATAGGAATACAGGATTTTTGTTTCTTAAGAGATGAATGTTTCCATCAGGCCTGCCAGTGTTGATCTGAAAGTTTTCTGAGTCAACAAAATCTTGTTGCTGGTTAGAAAAGCTCAGGATAACAAGACATCAAGTACAGTCTGGGCCTGAGCTGCATTTGTTCCCTGGTTCTGAGCCCAGGGATGAGCACACAGTGACAGGTAGTATTTTCAAGAATGGCTTTTGGGGAAGTGGTGGGAGGTGGGGAGGGTGCAGTAGCCTCCTTTCATTTCATTCTTTTCAGTCATATTTTGTGCTTATGAGCTGCCATGTCTCATGCATAAGCCAGACATAGACCCTGGTATTTGAAAATTATCTAGGGTTGTTTTTACAATTGGTGCGTCTGGAATTTTGGTGATATATTCAACAGAATTAGAAAATTAACAGTTCTGAATATTCTGAGTAGTTGATGCATAGTTATTTAGACATTTCTATGAACCGCCTATCATTATTTTGGTGAACTTATGAACTCCTGTGTCACACTGTGTGACACCTAGATTACAAAAGGAAAGGCAGCTTTCCCAACAAAGCCAGAAGTACCCATTTTACAACATGACCCAGGCTTGTCGGTCCCCAACACACTGCTTCCTCAGGGTCTAAGCTTTTCATCCAACCAGCCTGAATGATTTCAGCAATTACACCTGACCTCCAGATCACATCCTGTTTTCCACGAATTCCAGATCCAAGCCCGTCAACCTCATGAAGAGACTTCCCTATCCCCAGCATTACCCTGACCCACAGGCCTCAATAATGTCCTTAACAATTATTGCAAAAACATGAGCTGTTGATTTTGTCACAGTTGAACATCTTCCCCTTGCTGTTAAATTTAACCATGTTTCTAAGTATGTGAGCCCAGATGTCCTGTGCAGTATCTTCTAGGGGAGCACTTAGGAATATAGACACACTAAAGGCTACATAGTTGTCCTGTGGCTATTCAACCAACACCTTCTTTGTTCTCCAAAATAGGTATGGAACAACGCAGGGCTGCAAGAAAAACCAGCTAAAATGCCACTTAACAGGAAGATTCTCCACAGGCCCAAACTATTCAGTTGCCCTTGGTGCATTAATAGAAGGGAGGCTATTCCTCAATTCAAGCTGGAAGAGAAAAAGAGGTGAAAAATAAAAGAAAAACCATGATTACTCACAGCTCTACTCATGTTCCTCCTTACTGTGGTGACAGAACTTTTTTGTTGTATCTGAAAGAGAAAAATTCCAGGGATGCAATAAGATTAATGAGAAAATTGTTCTGTTTAGAGGCTAAATGACAGCAGAACAAAAAGTAAATCCAAATATATCCACACATCGAAGTCCACATGTCCACTGCAGCTTGAGAGCTCAGGCTGAATACAATGTATAACTGTACCCTCGGTGAAAATTGTGAAGAAAGAAGACCCTCACTTCCCATGTGTTGTCTGCCCCTGGCCACCAGGCACTCAGAGGCTGAGGGGCTGCTGATTTGGGTATTCAGCCCAGGAAGTGTCTCTGAAATTCTCTCTCCTTCTTCTGCTTTGGTCTTGAATGCCACTTCCTTCCTGTCTTCCCTACCCAGAGCAGGTCTGATCAATTAATTTGCACTAAGGTGTTAATGACTGATACTGGTTCAAAGTTACTCAGTGGGAAGAAGCACAAGTTCACATGATGGGATGCTGCTTGCCACGATTCCCCTGGTTTCATCTCTTTCTCAGTCCTTCATTTCACATGTTCCCTCCCACTATGATTTGCTTCCAGGGCTTGATGCCCATGTCCTGCAGTTGCCTGGGTTCCTGACCTCAGTTCATTCCTAATTCTGCTTTTGCTCTGTAGGCCTGACTTTTAGTAACTCCCTCACAACCATCCTGAACTTGGTCTGGACTTTGAGGACTTCTGTTCAGCTCTGTAGTCTTCTCCAAGAGCATGTGTATTTGAAAGAAGTCATGGTATTGCCCTTGGATGTTAGTGTTTCAGTGAAGGCCTCTAATGCCTGAGGTCAGTGCTCCCATTCTCTGTGATTCTTACCAAGCATTAGCCAGCATATTTGGCCTTTGGTTTAAATCTCTGCAAAGTCCTGGCTCAGTCTTTTAGGGCAGTGCCACTCAAAGTGTGCTCCACAGGCTGGTGCTTGTAGGTGAATCATTTGTTAGCAGTTCACGGTAAGTATAGAAATTAAGTGTAAACATTTAGAAACTTTCATAGTAATTCGTTTGCCATGTTATGGTTTTTTTCAGATCATATTTATTGAACTATCATATTTATTGAATCCAGTAGAAATTAAGCTTATTGTTTTATGTGTTTGTTCTTTCCATTTCACTTTTTAGTAATTCATTTTCAGTATATATTACAAAAGCACCAATCCTAACATATTAGAAATGTTTTAAAAACCAAAAAACTGGTCTTCACCATAGAGAGTTTGAGAAGTATTGTTCTTAAAATCTGGAGACTCATTCTAGAGACCTGCCCTCCATAGTGGATAGCTCCTACTGGATTCATTCTTGGCTTTGTCATTGGCCCAGCAAGTCAATGAACAAGTTACTCAGTTCTCCTTCCATCATTGCCTAAAGATGATGCTATTCAGATTGAGCAAATTTTTATTAAGCATTTTTGCAACAGAAAGGTCACAAATTTTGGAGTCAGACAGATCTGTGTTTAAACCCTAGCTATATGACTTTAAAAATATTTTCTGATTTTTCAGTTTCTCCATCTGCAAAGTAGACACTATTGCTTGCCTCAAAAAGTTTTTGTGAATTAACTGAAAAGAAGTTTGTACAAAGTCTAGCACCCTGCTGTTGGACAGAACTGCCTGCAAAGATGGAAACATTATATCCAATAGATAACAAAGAAGGAAATACTGCACTATCCCATTCAGTAGCTACTAGCCCCATGTGGCTATTGAATACTTACAATATGTGAGCTCTTAAAATGTGACTAGGACTTGAAATTTTTAACTTAAATAACCAGATATGGCTACAGTGCACAGAGCATATGTACCTCCATGTAGCAGGTTAATGTCTAAACTTTTGTTGAATATCTATATATGCCAGGTAATATTTTAGACATTGGACATACAGTGATGAATAAGAGAAACACAGTCCCTGAACACATGAAACTTAAAGATTAGCAGATGAAGAAGAACTTGACATTATTTTTGTGACACAAGGTGCCAACTTCTCTGGAACCCAGCAAATTACCCTGAAGCCCTAAATTGTTGAATGGTTGCTCTTAAGTGCAGATGGTGAACAGAACTTTTTATGGACTGACAACAGCTGCTTTCCCTATACACTTTGGTGGGCAGAGCTGGTTGCTGAGACATAGATGGGTAAGTCTGTTTAGGAGCCAAGGAGCCTTCTGGACAGACCTCTTTACTTCACTCTGTTCTATTCTGATTGAGAACTGAGGGAAAGCAATGGCCCTAAGAGGAACTCAAGAGAAGTTAGGATTGATGTCCCCAGCTTAACACGAAGGCCTAGAGGAGAAGAGGCTGACTGGCACAGCTTTGGTTAAGGCAGGAAGCTCCTTCTGCCTCACCAGCTGGTGAGAGTCTTACTTTAGGAGCAATGGCAGACATGCGAGGGGAGCCAAAAGAGCAGTCATCTTGTATCACTCTGGTCTGTGTGGGTATCTGGACTGGTAAGGGTACCTTTGCATGGATGGAGATACTCAGAGGGAACAGAGATATTGCATGGCCTTCTGGTGAACCAACCTAGCTCCCAGTAGCCTACTTGCCTATTTGGAGACAGCACTGGCCCTGTGGACTAAGAAAGCCTCCTGACACTTTGTGGGAGGTGGGGCAATACATGCTGCGAGAGAGAGGCACTGGACTTTTTGCTAAGGTAGGCAGGTAGGCGCCTGAGGAACTGGCAAATTAAATGGGGCGCAACTCCGTTTATAGCCGAAGCTATTAAAACAGGTCCTAGTTATGTAATGTGTGCTGAGTGTGTATTGAAAGGAAAAATAGGTGCTATGGGAATATCTGACAAGGGGATTTAATGCAATGGGTGTGGTGAGGGTGTAGCATCATGGGAGGCTTAAGTGACAGCTCAGCTAAGATTTAACAATGAGATGCCTCTCAGGACTAGAAAATTCTGTATGGCTAGAGCTCAGAGAACAAAAGTAATGGTGATGCAGTATAAATGGTGAGACGTGAGTCACACTACCCAGGCTTGTTGGGACTTCATCCAGTGAGCAATGAGAAGCCATGGAAGAGGTGTGAACAGAGGAGACATGGTAGATCTGAAAATTTAAACACCTGTTCTAGCTAAAAGTAAAAATAGACTACATTGGAGGCAGGAGGGTTCTGGCGTAGTCCGGGTTGAACCACAGCCATGGCAGTGAGGTTGGATCAATAAGCTGGAAAATTTTATTTTCATATTGCTTTCCATTTTACAGACGGATTCAAAGAAGCTGGATGATTGCGTGGTTCATACAAGATCACAGAGCCAGTATATAGCAGCACCAGGTCCAGATCTAGCCTTCTGATCCTGGTTTAAAGCTCTGTCCACAGTACCAG